GGGAACACAAGCAGGGGGAGTGGGAGAGGGAGAAGCAGGCTTCCTGCTGAGCAGGGAGCCTGATGCGGGGCTCGATCCCAGGACCCTGGGATCACTACCTGAGCCAAAGGCAGATGCTTAACCACTGAGCCACCCAGGTGCTCCTTCTTAAAGTCTTTTAGAAACTTCTGATGTTCTTTGGGGTAAAATTCAACTCAACTGGTTAGTGACAGGATTTGACTGGAAGGTATATGCTGGAGCTTATTAACCAGTAGAAATGATTTCTGATAATACCTCTAGGCTAAAATATATTTGTTGGAAATGTCAATAACCTGCTGCTCAGTTCTTTATCTGCCTTGACCTTAGCATATCCTTTGATCTCTCTGAATAGTTCTCCAAATTGGAATTCTCTCCTGCCTTCTTTCCAGGATGCACCTCTCTCCTGATTCTCCTCCTACTTGAAACATCTCTCTTGGTCTTTTCATTGTCCTTTGCAGGTCTTTGTATGAATGCTCTCCTCACCTTCCTTAGGCTCTAATACCCTGTGCCAGGCTTTCCCCCAATTTGGGCAGTCTCTTCATCCTGGTTGGACTCCAACATACCACACTAGGTGACTCCCATTCATGGATGCCCTCCTCACCTCACTTGGCCTCTAGATGTTCTTTGTTGGTTCATCTTCTGTGTGTCTACCCTTCTCACCCCACTTGAGCTCTCCCTCCCCATGTGAGGCTACAACTCCTTATTCTTTCTAGTTCAATCATTCCATGCCAGGCAGCCTGTCCTTATGAAAATATACTTTGCTCTGCGCTCCTACTGCCTTTAGGACTGAAATGTTCAGGAAGAGGAAGGGAAAGAGAAGGGGGAAGGAAAGGGAAAGAAATTTTAATTACTATATTTTTATTTAGCTCTTTGATCCATATAACCAATAAACCCTAAAGTATATATTGAATAGTTTATTCACACTCATTTGAAATACTGTGTTAATCATAAACTAATTTTCATATATACATGGCTCTGTTTCTCTATTCTCAACAATTTTATATTTCTATTTTGGTTCTTTCATTCATTGATATTGTAGCTTACTTTAAGAAGAAATGACATTTTTACCAAGTCATATAAGGAGACAGAACTTTTCAAATCTTCTTTTATGTCTGTCAGTAAAGTCTTACAGTTTTCTTCATATACATTTTATTGATTTCACCTTATGTTTTTTCCTTACGTAGTCTCAATTTTCAGGACCATAGATTATTTCTTTTTTTCTATTGTACATTCTAATTGGTGCTTAAGGAATAGGAATTCTTTTAATTTTTGTTTGATCTTTTATTGCACCTCCTTTTTGACTCTTATATTAGCCTTAACAATTTGGCACAAATGCTCTTGGGTGTTAATGTAGTAGATACCATTCACAGGATTTGAAAATTAACTTTCAGGAACGCCTGGGTGGCTCAGTCAGTTGGGTGGCCAACTCTTGGTTTTGGCTCAGGTCATGATCTCAGGGTCCTGGGATCCAGCCCCATGTTGGTCTCCACGATTGCAGGGGAGTCTGCTTGTGGATTCTCTCTCTTCCTGCCCCTCCTCCCCGCTCATGCTCTCTCTCTAAAATAAATAAATAAATCTTTAAAAAAATTTAACTTTCAATAGTAACATATGAATACATTTGCCTTATAAAATGAGAGAATTACAAATAATGCTAAATCTCCTTTGACCAATACCCCCAATCCTATTGTGCCTCCCCAATACCAGTAACTATTATCATGAATTTAAGTATGTTTCATAGAACATAGGTAGTGTTATTTGTGTACATTTTCAAATATTACCAAATGCAACTTTCTTTTTCATCCAAAATGTGTTTTGCTAACCTATCCTTATTGGTACATCTAAATATATTTCATTCAAAAAATATAAACATATTTCACTCATTTTCAAATGCTCTACAGCTTTCTATTAGATGTATTACACTCCATTTATTCATTTTATCTATTCATTCCCCAACTGAAGTACATTTAGATTATTTTGAACTTGCACAACCACAAACAATGCTGAAATGAACAAACTTGATGCCTCCTAGTTCACATGTGTGGATGTTTTTCTAGGGTAGATATCTTATATTCATAAGTTTCTGGGAAGTTTAACATTATTTTAAAAATAATTAGTATTAAATATGTGTGTCTCTTAACATTCCTAACATTCTAGGCAGTTCAGTGTTCAATATGAATGTTTGGTCTTTTTAGCCTCTACTAAAATGAACACATGATTTTTTCTCTTTTAACCAGTTTTGGTGAATTATAGTAATTTTCTAATCTTGAAATACCCTTGTATTCATATAATCCTAATTAATCATGGTGATTATTTTAAAAAAAAAAGACTTTGATTTGATTTTTAAAAAAGATTTTATTTATTTATTTGAGAGAGAGAGAGCGAGCACACACACAAGCTGGGGAAGAGGCAGAGGGAGGGGGAGAAGAAGACTCCCTCCCGAGCAGGGATTTCAACGCTGGGTTCAATCCCAGGACCCTGAGATCATGACCCAAGCTGAAGGCAGCCGCTTAACCAACTGAGCCACCCATGAGCCCCAGTTTGCTGATATTTTATATAAGAATTTTCCATCTGTGTTCATGAGCCTCATTGATGTAAACTTTTCCTTTTTTGTATTCCCCTGATCAGATTTGATAATAGGGTATTGCAAGTTTTATAAAGTGCTTCGGGGCACCTGGGTGGCTCAGTCGGTTAAGTGTCTGCCTTTGGCTCAGGTCATGATCCCAGGGTCCTGGGATTGAGTCCTGCATTGGGCTCCCTCCTCAACGGGGAGCCTGCTCTCCCTCTCACTCTGCCTGCTGTTCCCCCTACTTGTGCTCTCTCTCTCTCCGTCAAACAAAGAAATAAAATCTTGAAAAAAAAATGCTTCAGATATCTTTCCTATGTTCTGGAACCACAAATAGGAATTATATATTCTTTGAACCTTGGTAGAACTTATCCCTTTGTTTTTCAAATTAATAATTATGTAATCAAAGTCCTCCATACCCCCACTTATTTTTAAAATCTGAGATGCCTATTTCTGGGGTAGATATATTTGTATCTTCTGCTTCTATTACAAATTGTCAAAAATTTCCCATAATTCTAATAGTCAGTCTTAGCTATGTTCTCAGAGTGACAATAGTTTAAGAGTGTATATTATCTTTGTGGACTTTTTCCTTTATTAATATAAAATCCTTTTTTGATGCTTTTCTTTTCAATTATATTAACATTGCTATATTGCTTTCCTTTGATCACCATTTGGTTAGTAAATCTTTTAACCTAATATTTTCAAGGTTTCTGTGTCATTGGTGGAGCTTGCCTGTGGTCAAGTTATAGCTGGATTTTGTTTTTAATCCAGTCTGTCTTTTTAATTTATGAGTAAAATTAACCCATTTACATTTATTGTAAATACTGATGTTTGGACTTACTTTTCTCGTCTTATCTTTTTCTATTTACTATACTTCCATCAAGTTTCTTTTTCTTTTCTTGTTCTCGTTTCTGACTTTTGTTGGACTAGATAGGTTTTCTTTGTTCCATTCCCCCCCTTTTAATGGTCTGCAAATTATAAATCCAATTTAATTCTTCAGCGTTTAGATTTTAAAATTTATTTAATGTCACATATTCAGAACATATATGTTAAAGCTCAACACCTGGCATTAACCTGTACCTATAATCCCTTTCTGAAATTTTTTTGATTCTCAGTTTTCTGCAAAATTGGGACTTTGCGTTCTTCACTTAATTTGCTTAAATGTGATACCATGTCAAGCTCTAGTCTTTATTAAGTAAGGGGTCTTCAATTCCTTCGTTCCATTTCGTCTTTATTCAAGCAAAAAACTTCAGGTCCAAAAGACACAATCGCCTTTTATCTCCTTTGTCCTTCAAAGTCACCTCTCCTTATTTCTTACATCATTATGGCCTTCATCTAGTCTTTCAATTTCTCTATAAGACTCATTCTATCTTCTCAACTTCCCTTTACATAAAAAAAATCCCATTCAGCATTGTACTGAACGGCCTCTTTTGCTCTAGATTCAAAGAACGTCATTTCCCAATGACTCCATGCCTTTCTTCATTTTTCCTTCAAAATGGCGGACTTTAGACGTTCCACGAATAACACCACGTGCGCCTGCGCCTCCCGCGGCCATTTCGCCCAGCAGCCCAAACTCCAGCCTCTGCTCCGCGAAGCGCCTGCGCAAGAGCCTCCAGAGCCCAGTGGCTCCTCCCCCTAGCTGAGTACGCTTGAAACCGCACGTTCCCGTCCCTTCCCTCCCCCGCTGACTCTGCACCGCCCTTACCCCTTTCCTGTGAGATTCTTCCGCCAAGTGGAAAACCCATCTTCCGTCGACAGCCTACGCAATTGAAGAGCAATCCAATAGGCACATACAGCCTTGGGGCTCGTCACTCAGTCTTATCTATGCACCCCTGCAATTTTCCTCTGGGCCCTAAAGTTGATAAGCGATTTCGCGGGACTTTTTTGCATACCGTAGGCAACAAATGGAAAGAATGGCTGTGGCGGAGGGATCTCTCGCTTACGCTCTGTGTACTTTAACCTAATGGGGGTCGTCCGGGAGTCGGAGGGGGAGGGGAGAGGGAGGAGGCAGCCAAGGAATTGTTTTTTTCTCTCGCCCCGCCTGCGCCAGGCCGGCCAATGGAGATGGGCTATTTACCCACGAGCCTCGCCCAGCTTCTTGGACTAGGCCAATGAGCGGCGGAAGCGGCTCCGAGGGGGCGGACCCGAGAGGCTGTGCGTGTCTTGTGAGAGCTCTTGAACCAAGTCAGAGCTAGAGCTGGGCGGCTGGAAACGGCGGCCGCCGCTGGTGACTCAGGGAGGCAGGAGGCGGGGTAAGAGCGCCGCGGCCTCGGCTGAGGGGAGAGAAGGAAGAAAGATGAAGGCGCCGAGCCCGCGGCCCTGCCGCCCCC